CACCAGTGGTGTTCCTCAGGGCTCAATTCTACGGTTCTGGTTGACAGCAGCATTCCCTGGCAGCCCAGAGGGCAAACTGCATTCTGGGGTGCATCAAACCAGCATAACCAGCTGGTCAAAAGAGGTGATTATCCTGCTGTATTCAGTGTTGGTGGAGCCTCACCCTGAATCCGGTGTGCAGTTCTGGGCCCTAGAGCTTGAAGGACATTAAGGTCCTTGCATGCGTTCAGAGGAGGGCAACAGTGGTGGTAATGGGGCTGGAAAGAAGGTACTCTGAGTGCTTTGGGCTTGTTGAGTTTGCAGAAAAGGAGGCTGAGTGGTGATATGTTTTCCTCTCTGCAGCTTCCTGAGGAGGGGAAGTGGAGAGGGTTTAGACATTAGGAAGCTTTTCTTTACTAAGAGGGTGGTCAGACACTGGAAGAGGCTTCCTAGAGAGGTGGTCAATGTCCCAGGCCTGTCACTGTTCAAAAGGCATTTTGACGATGCCCTTAACAACAACAGCATGCTTTAAGTTTTGGTCAGCCCTGAATTGGTCATGCAGTTGGACTGGATGATTGTTGTGGGTCCCTTCCAACCAAAATTCCGTTCTGTTTTGTTCTTATTTATCTTGTTCCACTTTAAATACAATGTTGGCTATTTAGATGCCTATTTCCGCTTCTTAGTTTTGAACTTTTAAACTACACCATCCTAATTGTAGCTTGCCTGAGTGTGCCAGATTTTAGTGCTTGTACTAATTGGGACTACTGCCTGTAAAACAAAGTTTAGATCAGTGGTATTTTAATAGTTGCATTGAAAGACGATCAAAACGTAAAATTGGCTAAGAGTTTGCCAGGAACTAAATGTCGTACTTACACATCTAGAATTTGCTTGGAACATTGAAGAGGATTTCAAGCCTGTTCCAGATACCTGGATTCCAGCAAAGGACATAGAGCTTTCTAATGGCAATCCCTTGCCTGATGAGAACGGACATATGCCAGGTACTTAAGATGCAGAATGGGTAAAGTGGGTGGGGGGAAATCCATTTTTGAAGTTAATTAGAATTAGTTGTAGAGTAAAAAGTAGTAGTTAACCTGTTCAGAAAAGAATTGCATGTCATTCATTCAGTGTCTAGAAAGGCTTTGTTCTTCTGACACAATGAAAATAATTGCAGTTTGCTGTACAGTCTTACAGGGCTTCAGCTGAAGGCATAGTTGTCCTGTTTGCATTCCTCTGACATTTCTCTGAGACACAACAGAGTTTCTCTTGTTACTCTTTCTGTTCGGAGTTAATGGTGTGTATTGTTGTTTTGGGTTTTAATGCATGTACAATTCTACTACATGTTTGATAACTTCAGGTATTTACTTTGGTAAAATGAAATGTTTTCTCCTAGGTTGGGTGCCTGTGGAGAAAAATAGTAAGCAGTATTGCTGGCACTCATCCGTTGTAAATTATGAGGCTGAAATAGCACTGGTATTGAAACACCATGCTGATCCAGGGCTTCTGGAAATCAGCCCGGTGCCATTATCAGAAATTTTAGAGCAAACACTGGAGCTTATTGGGACTAATATTAATGCAAATCCGTATGGTAAGTTTCTATGGTCTTTTCTTAAATACTTTCCTATTTGGTGATATTTTTGAGTTAAGTCAATGCTTTTTTTTTTATTTTCTTTTTTTTTTTAATAAGTTTTTTTAAAAGTTCCAAGTTAGCAGTGTAACTTTTTTAGAAAGGAGAGAAAGGGCTGGCTCAAAAAACACCCACCCAGAAATGCTCACCTCAGAAAGCTGAGTTTTTACGAAACTATGTTTATTAAACCTGTTTTCACCTGCGTGTTCTTCAGGAGTTACTAGAAGAATGCTTTGCATTACTCTTTAGTTGTTTAAAATGTTACTATTAAAATACTAAAATATTTAAGATTGTTTGTTAGTGTCTTTTCTTGACTTTTTTTTTTCCTTGCTCTTTTGATGTTCTTTATTCCCTTAAAGCAGAAAATGATTGCTTGTTTTTTTTTTCCTGTAAAGTCAGAAATTGTAATTTTTTAATTATAAAATCTTATGAATACTTTTTTAGGGAAATGTAATTTAAGCTAAATTTTGGTTGTGGCTTCTCTGTAAAATCCTTACAACAACAAAAATAGATATGAGCACAACTGATTTCTGAGCGTTGCTGTTAGGGTAACTTGCAAGGACAGATAGGAAAAATAGTAGTATCTGGTCTAAGCATTTTCTCAGAATGTAAAGGAAATGCAACACAAAAGTTTAATGGCTGTATTCTTAAATGGAGACTTACACTGAACGGTCAGCGAAGCAGCAATGCAGTTGTTAACAGCCTGGCTTAAGTATTAATCTATATTTATAAGAAAATATATAAATAAAAGGTTACGTGAGGAAGAAACAGCTACATTTGGTACTTAAAAGTACGTATTTAACTGTTCCCTTAAACAGTTCTCTTAACTGTTACAGAATCTAATAAAAGTCTACCTTTAATAGTGCTTTAGATAGCCATAGTAACAAAAGTGAGGAAAATCTTAACGCACGTAACTAGCAGCAGTTGTTTGTTTTTTTTTCTCTTAACGTAGGATTAGGAAGCAAGAAGCAGCCTGTACATCTTCTTGTGCCACATGGAGCATTTGAAATAAAGAATCCGCCCCTCTGAAACAAAATGACATACTATCTTGGTTTGAAGGCTGCAGTGAGGGTAAAGTGGAAGGAATTGTGTGGCACTGCAATGATGGGTGTTTAATCAAGGTAAATATATATGTGGGCATGGGGGAAGCAGTAGAGTAATTCATACGACTTCAAGTGAGGTATTCACTTCTTGTCTCGCTTTCCAAATTCTTTAGTAGTAATGTTCTCCGAGCAAGTGAGATGACAGTAGAATTAGTCAAGACAGTGAATCACTACAGTGACAACATACTAAACTTTTTCATTATCTACATTATGCTAATAAGGTAATTGAGAACATAGTATTTTCTTGCCTCTCAGTATAGGAATACTCAACATTTTAAAGCTTCGTTTCTTTGTCTTAAAAATTCCTTTCTTGTAATGTTGACTTACAGAACAAGTATCGCTAATAAGAATGTGGGTTTTGATTAACTGGCAGGTTCGTATTTTTTCCTGAAGCTCTGGGTGACACCTTGGTTCTGGTTTGTCTTGTGCTTTGCTGTTACTCGTGTTACTCAGATAACTGCTTAATGATTCTAAGTGCCCCAGTGCAGAGGATTTTCGAATGAAAGCACATGCACACCCACACCTCCCTGCAAGTTGGAACTGTTGGGCTACTATACCAGAACCTCTAAGCTGATTTTACTTCTTTCTATTTTAGCTCCATCGCCATCATCTTGGCTTACGCTGGCCACTTGCAGAGACGCACCTCAATTCTCAGCCGGTTGTAATTTCTTTTAATAGAGCTAAATATGACTGTGACTTTGAACCAAAGAGTTTGTTTCACCATTTTTCAAACTTGAATGGTCAAAGATTTGACAGACTCCAAGATATCAAGTTTGATGCTTGATATGGGTTTTATGAGCTACATTCCTCCTGCGTCTACCACAGAACTCTTTACAAATAATCTCCTATCTCGGGCAACAGCCTAGGTACTGTGTGCAATGTTAAGTTTTTCCTAAATGACTGATTTGATGTAGCGAGAGATCCAACATCCAGAGCAGAGATCTAGCTTTTAGCATGTTTCTTTTCAGTTCGGAAAAATTCTTAACTTTTGAATCCATTTCTGGAAACTGTTATAAGTTAAGTGTCAGAAGCATACTGTAAAGGATGTATTTCAGGTGGGCCCATAAAATTGCATTTTTTATTTTTTCTAAGTTGTAGCAGTTTCTTTTGGTGGAAAACTTTTCATTGGTATTACTTAACTGGTAAGCTGCAGCATTATACTGTTACTCAAAAGCCCACTCAAGCTATACGCTACTTAAGTCCGTCTGCTATTTTGAGACAAAAAGCGTGAAAGAAAGTAAACTTCTATTTTAGAGGTCCTCAGTGATTTGAGACATGACTTGGCTCAATAACACCCAGACTGCATCTCAATTAGGAAACTTCATCAAGGGCATATTAAGAAAGATGACCTATAAATAATAAAGGTGAGACCGCCCGATTGTTTGGAGTTGGCTTTATTTGTGCTGTAAAAGTATACATCCAGCTATATAAAATATACAAAATGAAAAATTATTTAAATACCAAAACACCATTAGATTGGTTGAAATACTACTATAACTTTATTTTCAATTCTTTGTTCTTGGATTTTCTAAAATTTGAGGTAAAAACAGTCAGGGATGTAAGCGCAGGTAGTCAGCACACTGACCCTGAGTCCACAGTTAAGGATGATAGCGCGAGACAGCAGAACGAATTGCACGTTTTTACTGGTCTGGAACTTGGCAGACTTGGTACATTTTAAGAGTTTCTTGACTTACAGGGTAAGTCCAAGGTTTCAACTTCGCTTAACACCTGTGTATAACTCAAATTACTGTTCTAAATTAAGATACAGTATTGCAAAGGGGCTGGGAGAAGTAAAACTCATTTTTGACTGGTGTATATAAATACTGACCATAATCTGTCGACTAATCCAATTCTGTGCTCTTAGGTATGTGCCAAACTATTGTAACTTTAATAGACTTGTATTATTCCGAGATAAAAAACAGATAAAATAAATATTATGAAATTGCCCCCGAATTTATTTACTGTATTAATACTGAGGACACTAAACACTAGCCTAATCAACAGAAACATTGCCTGGACTATCCCCTTGAATGCCAAACTCTTCAGAAAGCTGCTTTAGTTTCTCTTCTAAGATAATATTTTTTTTAACTTCTTCACTGTAGTTATATTTCAGATCTTCAATTTCTTCAAAAAAGGAAGGGCCATAGTTTTCTAGTTCTCTTCTCAGTGCTTTTGTTTCTTCCTGTTAAAAAGAATGAAGGAATACACTACCTTTATCCGGAACTTGGGAAATACATGTCAACAACTTAAGTGGTAAATGATGAGATAATAATAAGCATGTTCTCTAGAGACACTAGATATTAGTTTAGATATTAACCAACTCCTCCTAGATAACCACTGTCTCATTGTCTTGCCCAGGATGATCTTTGCAACTCACCCTTAATTGCTGTTTCTCCAGCTCAGAGGCTTTCAACTGTGTCTGGAGGTCAGCTGCTTCCATTAACCTGTCACTTTTATCCTTCTGTAAAATTTCATTCTGTCCTGCAAAAGTCATGGTAATTTGTTACAAAATTTAAGGTAATGAAAAACAATGATACGAGTTATCTTGTCACAGTAATTCTGCATCCCCTGAAAGCTGAACAATTTGTAACAGTGTGTAAACCCAATGGGGATCAACAACCACCAAAAATTCAAGTCACTTGGGCTTTAGTTCTTACACAAATTAAGTGGGTGTGTCTGGCTCCTGTAACTGAATGCAGTGCTCCCATTGCCAGTCCTGCATTCAGTTTCTCTGAGTTAAATGCAGGAAATTTGGCAATAACGTAGTGTAAGGATCTTGTTAACTATAATCATAATTTCAGAAAGGGTTAGTTTTTCTTTTCCCAGTCATACGGCAACGTGCTGCTCTATAGTGCTCTGCTTTTCCCTTGGGAGTCTTAAACTATTTGCAGAGCTGGTATCTGGGAAGAGATGAATAGAATTCTATGGCAGCTTCCAACCCAAGGCAGAAGGGGTAATAAGCAGGAGGATTTCAGTGAATGACTGACACAAGAAGTCTTTTGAGGTTTATAAAGCAAAGCGATGAACTATACATCCTCTTGGAAAGGGAAATCTGACAAATATTACGAGCTCTTGTTCGTAAGATCTTAAAAATCTCCGCAATTAGTTAACACTTCTCTATAAACCCCTTGTGAAAGTAACTCCAAAATCCAGGACCTTAATTTGCTCCAGTTTACGCTACTCTGTAATTAACATAATTCACATAATTCTGTAGGTTTATTACCATTTTGCACATACATTTTAACCTATTTTTACTTAAGGCCCCAAATACAGGAGGATCATCATTTTAGTATTGAAAACGATTACCAGCTGCAGAAACTTCGCTTGTACATGTGTGCATGTGGTGCTTATAATCTTCCACCTGCTGAGCTAGTTCTGCTTTGTCTTTCTCTAATCGGTTATTAGTTAATCTGGAATATAAAACATTTTTAGAATAATTTTTAAAAACTGTTAAACTATTTTAGAATATAAAATATATAAGTAAAAATCGCGGTGGCCGTTTCCTGATTATTCTCATGTATATTGGCTGAATTATTTATTTAGGTATTTAAAGAGTACATTACCTTAAAAGCTGAAGCTCCCTGAAAAGGCTTTGCTCTGTCCTTGTACCTTCAGGAAACTGTTTGAGAAGCTCAATCTTAAAAGAAAAATTAAGAAAGTTTTACTCTTGAAACAGTATCCAGAGGTAATACAGTTCAGATGGAGTTCTCTTTGATACCGAATTAGAAAAATGAATGAAAATAATACTAAGGACATAACCAGGTACTAGATCATCAGAGTGTTCATCTACTGACAGTTTTCACAAAGCTAATTACCTACAGAGGGGTGTAGCCTCTTCAAGTGCTTTTCAGTAGAGGATGCAGGAGCAAAAAATCAGAGGCTATACGAGCAAAAAATACAAGACTATATATTTGAATGAAGTGACAATTTATGAACTCTCCTAAGGCTATGGTCAGTGATAGCCGTTCGTTCTATTATTAACTAAAATGATAAGGATTTGTTTGGTTGTGTTTATTTTTTTTTAACAACCATCAATCTCTTGTTTCTTTTTAATGTAGCTACCCTTGACACATCTCTTCATCAGTATTTGAGACACAAAACAAACTGGGAAGTGTGTTGCTCCACAGTAGCATCACATAATGAAATAATTTTCTCTCTGTGTTAATTTTGCTGCTGTTGTACACTTCCTGTTAATAATCTGACTTTAGAAAAGGAAAACCAAACACAAATTAACAAAATTTTTTTTTTTTATAGCACTCAATTCCAAGTTCTATTTATTGAATGCTTTCGTTGCCTACAGGAAATATATGACTTCCTATAGTGGAAGTTGTGTGTTTGATTCAGTACAACAAGAATGGCCAGTACAAGATGCCTGGGGAGCAAAACCCTGCACGTATTAATAAATGAGAGGATGGAAGCTAACCTAGGTGGGTAGTCCTAGGGCTGCATCTGCAAAGTACTTAAAAGCCAATATTTGATACATCTTTTCAAAGGTGCCGGAGTTTAAAATTTATCAACTCTTCCATGTGTGAAATAATGTTTGTATGACTTATTAGGGACTGCATATTCAGAGGCCATATTGGTAATAGGCATGAAGATCCATACCCTTTATGGTGGCAGAGTTAATCAGTCCCCCAAAAAAGACCTGGAAGAGGTAAGTTCCTCCAGCAAACTCACTCCTGCAGTGGAACAAGCTAGAAAGATTTTATTTGAAGCATCTGTACCTACATGTGATCAATGAAAGCTATCATTAAAAAAAAAAAAAACAAACCAACAACAAACACATGGAAGAATACTACAGAAAAAAAAAATTCCCCTAAGACTGCAAGTCAGAAGTATATGTTGATAATCTGTAGTAAACCTCATTAATGGCTAAAACATGTAAATGTACAGGTACAGCAACCAGGGCTGAAAAAAACCATAAAAGCATGGATCAGAGAAAAATAACAAACCAAACTCTGCCCATATAGATATTAGAAAGAAATAAATATTAATAAATATTAAGGAATTTATTCTCAGAGTCATCTGGCTAAATTTTACTCACTTGTTCTTTTAGATCTTGTAAGTTTTTATCAGCATTCTGTTCACGTTCTGTTGCTTCCTGCAGCAGCCGTTTAAGGTCAGTAATGCTTTGGGTTTTTTTAGCAATATGCATTTCCATTTCCTTTATCTTCGTTTTGTGCATCCTGGTAGTATTTTTATTTAGAGAAAGATAAGAGCAGAAGCTAATACTTTTGTAGAAATAGAGACTAAAATATCTGTGGGAGATTAAATGCCATAAAATACACTCTACGTTTGGGGCATTGGTCTTAAAAATAAGTGAGCTGAAAGAAAAATGCATTTTTAATCTTAGAGTAAAGGCTTTTGCAAGCGTTACACCTTTGTGGATCTTACTTAGTGTCTGTACTTTATTAAAGGGGGACTGAGATCTTTTTACTCTATTACACGTGAACCCTAAACTACCTCCTGCTAAAAACATGCACATCTGTTATTGATACAGCATGCACATGGGTTGGGTCTTACTTCAGTGTCATATCTTTGATTGATTGAAATAAATTAATGTACTGAGAAAGGGCTAATATAGATACAGAAGATGAAGTTTCCAAAGACAAAAACATTCTGCAAGAACTTCTGTTTACCCTGGAGTAACAGTAGTTGGAAGAGGATTCCGTTTCGATTTGAGCCATAGAAGGCTACAAAAAGGTTTTTTGTAGAATCATTGAAATGTTGGCTGGAAGGTACCTCTGGAGATCACAAGGTCCAATCTCCTGTCTGAAGCGGGCTTTCAGATACCACTGTGATCTACGTCTTGCTACCAGCTGAAGAGCCTTCCAAAGGATCACTTGGATGATCCCCCTGTCTGCCCTTCAGACACCTTCTACTATGACATCCATACTTTGGAAGATTTGCTGGTGGGGTGGACTGCATGTTGAAGTGACCTGGTGAGCTCCTTTAGGTTAGTAATGTCTTAACCTCAGTCACTTACTTTAAAATCATCTTAAAGTAAACGCAAATAAAAGTTTATTCACACCACTTGAAATAGACAAGCACAATTAAGCATAACCATATATTTTATACCTACCTACCTGTCTACAACTGTGTATCTATGTCAGCTTAACAGAACTAAGTAGAAATGTTTTTGAACAGGTGGAGAGCTAGAAGAAAAACTATGTTCAAACCACTGAGCTGACACACTAGTTACTAAGGGCCTACCATCTTCACTGCATGTTCCTGTCTTCCTCCTCCAGTGGCTGGCAGCCGGTTTTGCTTTCCTTCCGTATGCTAAATATGGCTGTCACTGACCTTGCGTAGGGACATTTTACCTCACTACATGGTTAGGGGGAAGGTTAGGAAGGAAGAAAAAAAAAAGGACAGCTTTCTGAAGTCTCAGTGAAGTAAAATGGCTCAGCAGTATGGCAGAGACACACTAAATCTGAAAGGGATCTTGTGGGAGTACAAGGCTGGGCATCAGCAGAAAGATTGTTCAACACTGTTGCGACCTAGGATGAAATCAGACAGGCTTCTCCTGTCCAGCTGATTTTCTGCCCTAATAATGTGGCTGTCAGAGGTTCTGGTTTTGTAGATATCTTCCACTTCTGTTTACAACTATTAAATAGTACTTTTTGCAACATGTCATCTTAATGTCATCCTGAGATCATCCATGACTAAGTACTTCTTCCCCGGATTTGCTCCCTTCCATCCTTAGGCAGGACACAGGCTATTTATTTATTTTAATGGCACATGCATTGTTTCGTTTTCGTGTCCTTTTCTGAGTTACATCAGTAAATGAGATAATATCCAGTTAAAAATTCTTGCCTCAAGAGGAGTAAAATTCTCATTCCTCTTCTACTTTGATGAATCCACACACGTGTATTTCATGTGAATGTATCTTCTGTCAGTCTTTATATCACTCTAGCGTGACATGTAACTAGCATCTTTCTTTGCAGCTCATGACTGAAAGGGGTGTTAACAGGAATGGTCTGGGGGTGACTGCCAAAATCATTACTTTAAAACAACTGATAGGTAATGTGCAGATAACTTACTGGTAAAGAGTTACAGACATTTACTACCAAACAGAACATGATTTTTGGTTCTGATCTCAAAGTCTGAGTTTTATCTAAAAATCTGGAAATGGTGGTTTACACGCTTCAAATAATATATTGAAAAAGACAATCCAGTGCCAGTCTGTCAGTTTTTCTCCCTTCTTCTACAGATAACAGAACCAGCTGGCTGACTGCAATTAGCCTTCAGAACACACACACCAGGGAGCATCAGCTATGACTATATGCCCCAAGGAATATAGAAATCCAGTGTGTTTCCTAACACAACCTCTGCACATTGACATGGTTAAAACCTAGATTCAAATCCAGCCAAGCTGGGAAAAGCAGGTTCCTGACTTACAGTTTTTGTTTTAGATTATGATCCATGCGGTAAGGTACTGGAAAATTTCTAAGCTCAGCAAAAACGCTGACATTCCACAAAGCACAAATACAATACATTTAACCAGCAAGGAACACAAAATACTTCCTTTACCAAAACTATCCACAAGCCTACAGCTAATCTGAAGAAGGGAGATAAGTCACTGGCTACTCTGTAGAAGCAGCTGACAGGCCAGTATTTAAGGACACCAGATCTCTGCTGGACCTTTATACTGATTCTACATATTGATATATAATCAGAAAATAAAATACTGATGATACTAAACTATCTTCAAAAGAAGAAAGAAATTATGAAAATTCAAGCCTAATTTGTTTGCTAATATTTAAAGAGAAATTATCTTCCTTACTTCATTCTCAATTCCTACCTTGTTACAATGGGCTTCCAGGTTTTGCTGTCAGCTCCATCAATTTGGCTCTCAGCCAGATTTAGCCTCTTAATGGTTTCCTCCAGCTGCCCTGTTAACTTCTCATTTAATACCTCCAAGTTATTCTTTGCTATTCGTAGCTTCTCTCCATTGTCAGCTTCCTATTGTTCAATAAAAACAAAAGTTTACGGAATACTTAACCTAACGAAGCTCAGGATTATCTGAAGTGAGGGTGGGATAGGGTCAGTGCTGATTTAGAGGAAAACTACCTACAAGATCACTACTGCTATAACTTCCAAATTCTGTCTTTGGCTGCTCCCTGGATGTCTCCCCTCCACGTATAATTCAAAATTCTATCATAGCAATAGCAGTTCTTAGAAAAAGTGTCCAATCCATATCAACCATTAAAAATATATATAAATACACTTACCACGACCAGTAACTAATGGAAATCAAGGGATGCATTACAATGACCATACCTTTTTCAGTTCTTTACGCAGCCTCTCGTTTTCAGTAATGACTTTTTCCATTCCTTTGGTTTTAGAGTCATGACGCATACTCAGCTGGTCCCCCACCTGAAGTTTCATCTTTTCCATTTCAGACTAAATATCAAACAGTTTCTTAAAATACATATGCATTGCTTAGTAGAAAATATCAGATCTCCATTTTTAAAGCATGGCATAGTGACAGCTACCTAGCACAATGAACATAACATTTAATCATGTATTTAAATATATCCTTAAGGCACAGAGTGCCATTACATAAAACATGCAGTACAATGAAGTTCTGCTTTTCTATTCTACAGCCTTCATATTTGGTATTCTTAAACCACTTTTCTGCCAGTCGATACCAATAACAGGCTTGCCGTTTCATTTTCCTACTAACTTGCACGCTAACCGGCTATCTGAATATAGTTGCTGGAAAGATATCGGTACCTTTAGCTTCTCATTTTCCTGTTCAAGACCAAGTAATTTCTCATTAGAAACCACAGCTGGAGTTTTTTTCAGATCCTCATTTTCTCTTTGGACTCTCTCTACAACCTTTTTCATCAAACCAATTGTTTTTTCCAATTCTGCAACTGTCTTTCCGCTTCTACCAGCCTATAGAGAGGAAAGAAAAAAAGTCAAAGGAAGTTAACAGTTCATCTTAACATTCTGAGATACTCCAAATGTTATTTTATCACTTATTTCCCCGCTGCAATGTCTGTTTATTAAAAAAAGTTATATTTTGGTGTGAGTTGAGCCCTGAAGTTTCTTGCATACTTAGCTCCTCAAAGTCAAGACAGCAATTCCTTCATTTTCTGTGTTACTCAAGAAAGCTGCAGTTAGTCTCGAAATCTGCTGTGCTTTATGAACTAGACTGAAACATCAGCAAAATAAATCAAAGTACTACTTTATTTTTTAGCTTTCTTGTACAGCAGTTCCCTCATCCAACAGACCATGCAACTGCTTGAATGCTAATACTGTCTGAAGGAAAATAAACTTCTGCTGGATGAAAGTGACAGGAATAACTACATTTTAAAGCATAAGTAAATCTCCCTTTTCCCAAGGCATATATTCTCCTTGCAGAGTGATAAATATTTAAAAAATACATATCCCTTATTTCTCCGCATATGCTAGGCTGCTGAATATTTCAACTTCTAAATGTAGAACACAGAAACTGTAAGTTTTGGGGTTTGGGGATGGGGTTGTTTTCTTGTGTTTTTATAAATATCAAAGTCTTTTAATAATTACTTTACAAATCCAGATTAGCACAAGCTGTAAAGACTTCAAATGCTGTGGGAGGTGGAAACACAGTAAGAAGCTGAGAGCTTTAAAATTTATAGAATACGAATCAAATATGTTTTGATCCTATACTGTCTTGTTACAAATGAGACAAATACTGTAAGTATGAAGTAGCATGGATTTTCTGATGCTCACTGGAGTTACCAGCAAAGCTTTTCACAACTTTAATGATCCAGAACTAGACCCATAGAAAAATCACTGTATCAATGATAAACAGTTCAGGTATTAATAACACTTCAAAGCAAGTGAGCTTGCAGTTGCTGTTAGAAAATAACCTGATTTTTTGAATCTTATAAAAAACACATTAAAGGTTTCTAAAGTACCATTTTATGGGAGCAAATTAGTAATACTCTAGCGGATTAAGTTCAACTGTAAAAAAAACCAAAATAAAACTGAAACCCCAGACCTCCCCTCTCCCCCAAAAGACTGAAGAAACCTCCACATGTCTTCTGAAAGAAAATTGTTTCAACTGGAATGTCAATGCTGACCATTTCCAATTATGAAAAAAAGCCTAAGAAATTCATTTAAATTAGACAATATTACCTAAACCGTAGTTCTGACAGTTGTCCTGCAAAGGCAGGATATCCATGAAGAGTCTTTTTAACTGTATGCAAAAAGTAGGAGTTTTCTGTATAAATGATGTGAAATCTTCTTTTACAGTTTTGAAATGTATGCTACAAAGACCTGAATTTGAAAGCTGTATTTGTCACTCTTTCCTTCCATTCTTCTTTCAGTTTAGGAAACAAAACCACATTTTCGTGATAAGGTATTTGGAAAAGCCTCTTTCTCTTTGGTTTGACTTTCCTTCCTCTCTTTGCCAAAGTCCACCAGTCATAGACATTATCATCAGCTGACCTACAAAGACATCAAAATCCGATGTTCCAGCTCAAGTAAAGCAAAACACTAGGGTATAACTTCCCTTGCGTGTTTTTGTGTGCTTGCATTTTTTTTCAGGCAGCCAATAGCATGAGCTATCACACTTCTGATAAGGCAGGTATTACTCACATAGATCATACATAACAAACCTGACACATCAGACATTCTCAGCAAGGAATAAAGAATCTGTTAGAAACAGTGTAGTATATCTATCCCAGCCTATAAACACCTCCAATCAGTACCACAGTCAGTAACCAAGAGGATTAAAATAAGTGGGGGAACAAAAAGTGGCTGGTAACAAGTACGTGATCCTGCAGTGAGGTGCAGACGTATGGAAGTCCAGACATTTATTTTAGCCTGAGCAGTTGAGTCTATTTGTCACTGTCACTTTATTCAGTTGCCAAAAATCTCTTCATTGTCAAAGCATACCCTGTTACTAAGGTATGCAATTATATATTATTTCTTCGCTTGCAAAAGAAGGCAAAAGCATTTCTCTCTCACATTCCATTATACCTTAGTAAGTTGAATTTGCACCTAGTATTTGGAATTTATCTACGTTCCTTCATGCAAAAATTGCAAGGTGTTAATAAATAGACATTTATAATTTAGATCTTATGCTGTAGTCCACCCTGTTTAGTTAAGAAGCAAATGCAATTAGCTGTGATAACTGGCATAGATTTATTCTGGTTATTTATTAGGAGGGAGAAGCAGCAGCAATAATAGACTAGTAGACTAAACTAAACTAAACTAAAGCAGTTGGATAGAAAAAAAAATCAATCCTGGTCTTAACTATAGCAGTAGTATAGAATGGATCTGACTTTTATTTTTCAGGAGAGCCACAGTCTGTGGCCCACCTTATAACATCAGCGACACCAGTGAAGGAGAAAAGAGCAAACCAAGAGGTCTGCTGCATTTAAAAGCATTTGACAGTGGAGTTCCTGGTAGAACCCACACAGAGCTTCTATTTCTTTGTGAAAAAAAAAGATCACTCTGATGTAGAGTTATTTTCGGGTTTACAGGAATATATGGGCTGTGCCTACCTGGTATAACGTGAATTAATCCTGTGCTGTATCTGTCCACATTTCACCAAAGAGGTTGTATTGTGTTAATTAACTGTTCACTAACTAGGGTTTTTCTTTCTTAATTCTGTCAGATTTACATGTCTATTTTCTCACGCTCTGTATTTTGTGACAGTTTAAATACAAGCTTCCTACTTGGAAGCTAATGGTTCCATTTCCAGCACATTCTTTTGGCTGAAGTGGATATCATGCAACGAAAATTGAAGTCTTAATTCTCTTAAACTTAACTCTGAAGTTGAGCTTATATAACAGCATTCATCTCATGAGTGATTTATTTCTAGAGTGAAAGCCAGACAGACAGTAATATAATTACAATGATTGCCTTTGAGATCTCAAAAGGCAGAATCTTGCAAGACCTAAGAGTTTAACCTTATCAAAGATATAGCAGCATCTCAGAGGAGAAGATCAGGCAAGGCCAGAGAAGGCTGGCCACGAAATAAATGTTTGATTGTTGCTGAACTGTTTTCTTTTGGCAAAATGAAAATGAGTTCTTATTTATTAAGCATCGATACAATGGTGACAGCAGACATTCATAAAAAGTTGGATAAGGTACAACAGCACTGTTTTCTCTACTTCAGTACAGAGTATCAAGGGCAGAGGACAGAAAGAAAGAGTAAGACTTCGATCACCACTTAGCAGCTCAAATGAAACAATTATAATGGCGGTATTTATTTTAATTTGAAGATCCAGAAGTATAAATCCACAATACCTTCTGTTTTATTTTATAGCTACATTCTATGATTTGTTCTAGTTTTTAATCTTCTTTCAGAAAGAAACCAGCTCCAAAAAGAAATGGCTACATCAGCATCATATTTTTTCTATTTTTACTTCCATCTTGTGCAAAATAATGTTTTGACCGCCAAGAAACTTGTAGAACAAAAGAAGAACAAGAGCGTAACAAATATCAAATTCCCATAAATGCTGTTATAAAGTAGGTGGCCAGCTTCAAGGGGAAAAAGCAAACTGAATCAAACCAACCTCCTTTGCTTAATTCTGCTTCCTGTTCCCAAGTTACAGTAAGTACTGAGTTGATATTACGTATCAAAGAACCCACAGAAGTCCTCAATCTCAAGACGCATTTCCAGGAAAAGCTCTTTGAAAACCTCAGGTTGTTCATCTGTTTGGTTGGTTTGTTTGTTTTGCTTTGCTGACTTTAAACTTTCTAACATATAAAAGCCACTTGCAGGCTATAAGCTGTAGTTGTAAGCATCCCGTCCAAACTGAAAGGCCGCAAAATAACACCTATTCACATCAAATTCACAAAGTGATTTTTCCTCATCCTCTTGACTTGTTCTCCTTCAACTCCCTCACTTGTTAGTACTTGTCTTGTACACCTCAGTCGTGCACATATTTTCAATTATTTTCTTCTTGGTTTTATGTTAGACTTTTCCCTCTTCCCGTTTTCAATGTTTTTCCTCCCTATTTGATCAAACTTAAGTTTCATAAACTCTGTTAGAGTAGCAAGTCTCAAACATTAGTCAAGATAATTATGACAATATCATAACAATATTATATTCAATATTAATATGTCCAGTATTATAACCAGAGCGGTTAGAACATAATCTAAACATGTTAATAAACCCCTGGGTGCAAACAGGTGACACTAGGTAGACAGGAATTTGGGTTGATAATCAGAGGTCACTGATGTGTACCTGCAATCTACCCTACAATAAGTATGCAGAGAGAAGGATGCCCCCAGTCCTTACAGACGGAAAGCTAAATACAAAAGGCAATTCAGAGTACTAAGAAAGAGGAGGTACGTCCAGCTTCTGTAACAGGTTCAAAAGCTCTGCTGCTTTTATTATATGTAGTGTCTGACCAGCATCCCATCCAGCTGCTCATGAGAACTTTCCAAGAGGCATTTTCACTCTACCTACCTGGGAGCCCAAGTGTCTATTCATGCTTGGGGACTGTATGAAGCAGAAGTTGTCAAAGGGTCAGGTAGTGTATCATTTGAGTTATCCAGTGAATTTCTTCCCCCACAATGAGTCTTCCCCAGCTATTTTGCCTCCAACATTTCCTAAATAACTTCTGTGGTTCATGCTTTGTCTCAACCCGTCCCACACCTGGCCCTTTAGTTATCTTGATTATCATAGCTACCTCAGTTTTTTATTCCAGAAATTAGGTTAAATCTTTATCACTTCTCACTCCCCACAGTTTTTGTGCAGTTACACTGAGACCTCACTTCTTTCCCATTAGCCTAAACAAGACTGTAGGGTACCTCCACACCCCAAATCATGCCTTGGACAGTGACTGTAAACTGCCGCAGCCTTTTACCCTACCTAGAGTTTACCTTTGTCTAATTCACAGCTCACGCTGCAAAGAAAACTCTCCTCTTAAGATGTGGACCAAACCAACTGTCCTCTCTGATGCCCCGGGGAGTATTGCAACTGTTCTGCATTTGTAAGTGAAAATCCTGGGAGCAGGTGAGAAAGGAGAAACAGGGGAGCAGAAAAGCACTGTCTTACCTAAAGGTAAGGGAAGTGTCACCTTACAAGGAAGGTGCCATTTACCCAATCACTGTCACACTTCTGCAGTTAAATTCCATTAAGCTACAAAAGAACCTATGCAAAATAAGCAATGCTTGTGCGCTCCCTCCCAGCACAGCAGAGAGGCTGAGCAGGATGCCGCCACTTCTTACACTTCGTTAACAAGTGTCCTTGGCTCAGCAGTAGCAGTCATTTTTCTCTTTCTTAGTAGCTGGTGCAGTGCTGTGTTTTTGACTTTCA